AACCAGAAGAGCTATGAAATTAGAGCCACATTGTATTATGATTTTTAAATTGCAAAAAAAATTATTTTTGAATTTTAAATTATTTATTTAATGAATGTCTCCTAGTCACCAGGTACTGATTTAAGCACTATCTATTCATTAGTTTATTTAAACCTAACAAATCTATAAAAAATGTGCTACTCGTAACCCCATTTTATAAATGAAGAAACTGAAGTGCAGAGAACTAAAGTAAATTGCCCAAAGTCACAGAGCTGATAAGTGGCAGAGCTGGGATTCAAACTCAGCCTGTCTGGTTCTAGAATTCATGTTCTTAATCACTGCATTTTCTATAATCTCTATAACCCTATAATAACACACCAATAATGACTACTATTATTAAATACTAATTAACCAAGAATTATCATCATCATCTTCATTTTACAGATGAAGAAAGTGAGGCCCAGAATGGTTAAGGAGCTTGCCCTACATCACACAGATGCTAACTGGACAGCCCTGAATTTAATTCTAGGGATTCAGACTTCAGAGTTCGGGGAATTAACCACTTACATTAGAGTGGCTTCAGATCTACCTATCTGCCTTTGGGCTAGAACACAGTCCAGCTTTGTTCATGTTTATGGTTTATTTATTGCTTTACCATCCTCCTTAAAGCCAGTTATAAGTTTTAATCTCCGAACAAGAGGACAGCCTTACTGTTTTCTTCATCTTAGCCAGAAACATATAAAATATAACTTCATCTTTACTGCTTCCAGCTTTTCTTTTTTTATGCTTTCCAAAAATAATAGAATAATAACAAATAATATTCGGCTTTCACTGTGTGGCAAACTCTCTGCCTATGTGTTTTACTTCTGTTATTCCAGTTAATACCACAGAAAAGCCTGCAGGTAGATTTTTTTAATTATCTTCACAGGACAGATGAGGAAACTGAGGCTCAGAAATGTTAAAACTTCCCCCAAAGTCACAAAGCCAATGCTGCCAAGCTTGCAATCCAGCTCAGGGTCACATACTCTTGACCTCTACATTAAACTGCCTCTACCTCTTAAATAAACCTGACTATATGTGATGGGTAATCATAGGAAAGGAACGCATGGGAGCAACCCCCTGATGCCAAGGCTAGCAGGTGCTGCAAAGGAACATCCTTTCCTTGGATTCAAATGGGTGTTTGCAGCAGAGACCTGCAATGGTTGGCAAACAGCCTGAGACCATCTTCACAATGTTCGTGATATGTTGTTTTCATCATAACCCAGAGTTCCCCAGTTTTGCAGTTCAGGGACTGCTGATCACTCCATCCAATTGTGACAGGGCCACATGGAAATGACTGATGGTAACCTGCCCACAGTGGGCTGATTGGAACTTTAAAATATATGCCTGTTGATTCATATGGCAAATAACCCCTGACAGAAAAGACCAGGGTGTGAGACCCACACACTAGACCCCTCAAACACTAAGTGGGGATGCTGGAAGCTGCTTATTCTTCCGAAATACTCTCTGAAGATCCTGAGACACTTACCCAGTCAGTTAATTATGGGCAACGGAGTTTCATATACCCTGTGTTACCGTTTTATATCTGCTGATCCATAGGAAAGAGATTGGCCTCTATGAACCTGATCTTCTCATTCAGAAATCTATAAGTAACTCCTATCTTAGAGTGTTATTGAAAAGATTAGAATTATCTGTTAAGGCAGGTGGCACATTACCAATCTCACAGGATTATTACTCTACCCCATACCAAGGTGTAGGCTTGTGCCTGCTGCCCTAGATGAAATACCCACATCCCTATCTAAGCAGCCTTTGCCAAATACTACTGGAGAAAAGGTAATAATTCATCTTCATTTACTTTCCTAATATCAGAAGTCACTTTCCTAATATCATAAAATACAGTTCCTTATTTTTCAAATTCCTTTTCGTTGGTTTCCTTTAGATTAGCTGCTTTCTCACAACACGTTAGTTTGCTAAAAGGCCGCCCCGGGTCGCACTGCAGGGTGTGCTGCTTCTGTGGAACTTTCCTACGGGGAAGCTACTTCCTTTTGTGGATGGGGATTCTTATTTTAGCATGTACTCCAGAAAGTAACACTTACAGACTCATCTTCAGAGTGGTTATTCATATCAATTTGGGTTCCTGTGGCTCATTAGCCTATGAGCAAGGCACTATTTCCTCATCTCCACTAGCATTAAGGGATGGTAGCAAACTTTAATATTAAAAAGATGTCTGTAGAATAAACTGATGGTTGCCAGATGGGAGGGGGGTGGAGGGATAAAAAGCGGAAGGGATTAAGAAGTTCAAATAGTCAGTTATAAAAAAAAAATCAGTCACAGGGATATAAAGTACAGCATAGGGAATATAGTCAATAATTTTGTAATAACTGTATGGTGTCATGGGTACTAGACTTATTGGGATGATCACTTCATAAGTTATATAAATGTCTAATCACTATGTTTTACACCTAAAACTAATATAATACTGAATGTCAACAGTAATCAAAAAATTTTTAATTACTGATATAAGAATAAAAAACAACACAATCAGAAAAAAATTCTGGCAAGTCTCAAAGATCACTAAAGGATTAGAAAATCTAACATATAAAGAAAAGTGAAAGATACCAGCATACTTCAGATCATAAAAGTGAGAAACCAGCTCACTGAGGAATGGAACCAGAAAAAAATGAAATTGTGCTGCAATGTAAGAGATTAAGACAAATGTCTCCTATCTTGTTAAGTGTGGATATGAGCTAAATTAATATGTTATTAACTCTCCTATTTTGGAGACTAAAAAGACGTGTGGGTTAGTTGCATCTATTAGGGACAGTTTGTTTGACTCCTCGATGTATCCTTGCCCAAGGGCTGACAGATGGATCAGATGATCTCTCAGCATCCCTCCCAGCCCCACAATTCTGTTTTTCTGTTATTGTTGGACTAGGATGTTAGCTGAGTCAGATTTGCCTTTGCAAGTTAGCGGAGGAGTCAGCTGCTTGAAAGAAAACAGGTAGACTCTTTGTCTCAAAAATAAATGCCTCTCTACCCTGTTCCAGATTAAATTGTACCACTAAAGGTGTATTTTTCCTTGAGCCACAAAGTTTTTGTAGTTTTACAGAGTTCCTAACTGAATGCTGACACTGACACCTAACCGAAGATAAACTCAGCTTTATTCTATAAAAGCTTAGCAACAAACCAAGGCTGGAAATGCAGGTAAAGGGAGTCCCAAAGCAGAGAGAAAGCAGACATGACTGTACAAAGGGCACCAAACTGAATGTAGATCAAGGCTTATGCAGAAGATAGTGCTTTCCTCCCTCTCAGCTGAGTTCAGTCGTTCATTCTTTTGTCGTTGTTGTTAATTTCTTGGTGTAATATTGGTTAATAACATTACTTATGTTTACATTATATAATTTTATAATACATCACCTGTGTATGGCATTATGTGCTCCCCACCTAAAGTCTAATATCCTTCGGTCACCATATATTTGACCCCCATCACCCTCTTTATCCTCCCCCCAGCCACCTTGCCCTCTGGTAGCCACCATACTGTTGTCTGTGTCTATGAGTTTGTTTGATTTGTTCATTTGTTGCTTTTTGTTTTATGCCCCACACATGAGTGAAATCATACAGTTTCTGTCATTTTCCATCTAACTTATTTTGCTTAGCATGATGTCCTCAAGGTGCATTCATGTCATCATAAAACAGAGTGTTTCATCTTTTTTATGGCTTTGCTTTCCATTGTATATACATACCAGGTCTTCTTTAGTCATCCGTCAAAGGACACTTAGGTTGTTTTCATGCTTTGACTGTTGTAAATAATGATTCAATGAACATAGGAGTATAGATATCGCTATGAATAAATGTTTTCAAATTTTTCGAGCTGATACTCAGAAGAGGAATTGATGGGTCACATGGTAGCTCTATTCGTAATTTTTTGAGGGACCTCCACAGTACCTGTACCAATTTACATTTCACCAGCAGTGTTCAGGGTTCCCTTTTCTCCACATCTTCTCCAACACTTGTTTCTTGTCTTAATTGATAATAGCTATTCTAACAGATGTGGAGAGGTATTTTATTGCACTTGTGATTTGCGTTCACCTTTGTCTTTGTGGAATTGTGTTAGTTCCTTACATATTTTGGATATTAGCCCTTTATTGGAGATATAGTTTGCAAATACACATTCTTTCAGTGACTGTGGAGCTCCTACTGGGCACAAAGCACTAGACAAAACACAAGGGACACTACAGTAAGCCAAACATACATGACTCCTGCTTTCCTGCCATACATTGAATATGTGATAAATATACAGTAAATTGTTAAGTGGGGGTTTATATGCATGCAACAGATAACAATTGAGTTGTTAATATGCACAAAGCACTATTCTAGGCACTTGAAATGGGGTGGTAACCAAATAAACAAATCCTTTACCCTCAGGGAGCTTACACTCTGGTAAAAGGAAGTTACACAATGAATGCACAAGGTGTTCTGAGAGCCATAACAAGGAGACCTGCCCTAACTGACAAGTCCTCCCTGAGAAAGGGATGTTTCTTTGGACATCTGGAACCTGATAGGAGTCAGTGAAAGTCATGTGTTTGGGAATGAGGAGGTACTGGAGAGTGTTCCATTTAAAGTTACCAAATGTTGTCAAACTACCACAATTTGCTTGTATAATAAGATAAAGGGTAACTCTATATTTCTTTTTCTCATTATTATTCAAATATTTGTGCAATCAATAATTGTAAACTAACAAAACAACGTTTAGAACTATGTTATCTCATTTTTACCTTGTAGCTTTAATAAATTGGTCTTTAAACTATTATAAATTATTATCAAATTTTATATGGATATGATATAATTTGGAGGACAAATTCACAATCAGATAGTTTTACCCTAATGATGCAAGCATTGAGTCTAATTCCATAATATGTTTATGTTACTGAATGCAAACAAGATAATGTGTTTGACATTGTGACATGGATCTTTCCCCACCTACACTGAATATGAATTACAGGTTGGTTCCTGCACTACAGGTGGACCTGTGGCAGCCCAGCAGCATCTCCTATGTCTCAGAGGGAACAGTTACTGATGTCCATATTCTCCAAAATGGTTCCCAAGCTCTGTTAGCCTTCTTACAAGAAGCCAACATCCCATACAAGTAAGCATTTTTTCACTGTTTAATTTATTTGTACTAAGTTGAACTGAATGTTCACTATATTCAGATTATTTATTGAGTGCCAATGACAGCATTTCAGGTACTGTGTATCAGATCAGGAAAGCCAACATGAATATAACAATTATATTTACCTTTGAGCTTATTAATGTAATGGGGGGGCGGAGAGGACCCACATTGACATATTATCTGATGATCATCACTAAATGATCAGTATAAACACAGAAGGTTTTTTCTGGAAGAGGAAAGGAGAGCAACCTAACAATGCCTAGAACGTGGGTGGGAAGGCAGGGACAGAGGAAACTTTCTGTAGGAGCTGTTTAGTTAGGCAAAGGATGAGACTCATAACCTTGAATGCAGAAGGGACAATGCAAGCAAAGGGAAGAGCAGCATAGTGTGTACGTAGGAAACTGATATAGTTTAGTGTTATTAGTGTACAAAGTGCCAATCAAAGAATAGAAAGAAAAAATTCCAAAGAGGTGTGGGAGGCCAGATTGTGGGAGGACTGATGAACAGGATTAGGAGCTCAGACCTTTTTCTGAGGGTGGTGCTGCATAAGTCAAGGATGTAAGCAAGGAAGCCACACACATGTGACTGGATGGGAACAGCAGTCATGGGCAAGGTAAGAGTTAGTGAGGCCCTGATCCTACTAGAGTAGTGGGATCAGGAGAGCATTCAATAAAACAGTTCAGAGGCAAAACCACCTGGACTCCACACTTAGATTTAGGTACAAGAGGAAGAAGTCAAGAATAATGCCAAGTCTAGCTTGCGTATCCAGGCAGACAGATTCAAACCGATTTGGATATTTGGATATTCTGAGGGTTTTTTTTAAGGACTTGTTAGAATAGTAGGAATAGAGTAAGTAGAAGATAGTCAGAGGAGTCAAAGAAGAGATTACTTTTCAGAAAGGGAACATCAGTGGTGCCAAGTGTTACAGTGATACCAGCAAGAAAAGGACTGACCAGATTTATTTGGATTTGGCAATAGAAACTGTGTTGATAACTCTAATGGTGGGATTAGATTGTCAGGAGCAGGAGACAGAAAAGTGGACAGCAGATGAGAACATGGAGCGCAAAGAAGACAACTGCTCTTAGAAGGTAGAATAAGTATAGAAGGAGAGAATGAGGAATGACTACAGGGAGATGCAGCACCAATGGCTGCTTGAGATTTGGGATTTGTTTGGGGAGGGGACAATTCAGGGTTGTCTATAGGCTGAGGGAAAAGAGCAGTAGGGAAGGGGAGGATGATGAGACAGGAAAAATGCACAAGTAGAGGAGTGAGTTTGGGCAGTAGGAAGGAACTTACCCTCTAAGATGGAAGAGGTAAATGTGAGACTAGTTGAAAGAGATCATAACTGATTGCTAAATTTTCTGGATGAAGTAAGAAGCAAGATTATCTAATGAAAGTGAAAAAAACAAAGTCTGAAGAGTGTTTCAAGAGAACTAGGGTGTCAACCAATAAAAGTAGTTGTTGCAGAGAAGAGAGATTGTAACCCTGATACAGAGTTGAGATTTCATTGGATAGGAATACAGAAAGATCAAGGTTGCAAGGAAGTTGAAGTTCCTAGTGAGGTACTAGCTCAGGTATTCATCCACGGAGTCTAATCTGGATAGGAAAGGAGGAGAGTCTGGATGAAATGATGGGACAAAATGGAAGAATCAAGGAAAGGATGAAGATCTTTATATTGAAAACTGGTGTAGTGTGACTGAGGACAACAAACTGAAAGGAAGTAAGTTTTGAAAGAGTATTGGTTATTAGACGTTAAGAGTTCTGAGGTAGAACATTTATGGCTGGTGACAAGATTCAAGGGGTAGCCATGGGAGAGATGGCTGAAATGGAATGGAGATCACTGAGGCTGATGTGGTCAAGAACGGGTGGGCTAAAGCTCCAGAGAATCATCATAGCAGTCTCGAATCTCCTTGACTGATGGCAAGATTAGAGGTGGGGAGAGAGAATAGTATTGGATGGGGAATATCAAGACATATCCAGAAGGTAAAAGAAAGCAACAAGGAATAGTGTAATGACGAAGGGAGGATGAGCTTTTCCTGGAAGTTAGAAGATTAAGGGGGAAGCTAAAATGGGGGTCCAGGAGCATGCCGACATCCCTCCCTTCTGGCCCCATAGTAGGTGAAGTGGGAGAAGACAAAGCCACAAAAGAATCTGCATCCTTAGAGAGTCCAATTCCTATTGGGGCAAGAATATGAGAAGAGAGAGTCCTCTGAAGAGACTAAAGAATGTGGGAAGCTTATCTACAATGAAAGGGGTATTTCAACAGGTACAAGGGAAAAGAAAGTAGTGGAGAGATACAGAGTCAACACAGGCTCTGAAGGGCAGTGCAGTGAATTAATGAGACTGGATGGGGTGACTTTCCTTTTGTTTGGAGTCCTAGGATTTGGGGACTGAGAAGCATGATTGTCAATGACTAACTTCAACTCCCCCAAATTTTTAGCATGTTCTGGTACTGCCAAAGCCAGCATAAATATCTGTAATGATGTCTGAAAGGCCTGGGATGGGCTCATGGCTCTGGGGGTTAATGGTGAAGGACCTAGTCTCTGTGGATGGCTAGGCCAATGAGTGCAATGGGACAGTGATGTCCCTCCCTAGTCCACACAAATACTTCCCTGCCAGGAATATAATTGCAGCCTTATTAAAGTGCTGATTTTCTTTTTCAGTAAGATATTTTATCTGTGCTTCTAGAACAGGATAGAATCACAGCTGTGCATAAAACTATTGTTCATATTGAACAGATCTTAGTCATTGCTGTAGCTTTGATTTTCTGAATGCCTGGCAGAAAAGAGCTTGGTAATTATATCTATAGGTACTCAGTAACAACTCACATGCTTCATTAATTATTATTTGGTAGAAAAGAATATACCAGTTATTTTAACAAGTCTCCATTTCCTGCTATTAAATATAAAAGTCATGTGGAACTAACAAAGAATAAAATATCACAATGTATGTCCCAGAGAGTAGAGTCTAAAAAATGAATGTTTTAAACCAGTTGTCTCTTCATGGAGAACAATCATTTAGAATTATTCATTTTGTTGGTCCCAAGATAATAACTCATAAGAGTCCATTAAATTCTACCCAGCGAGTAGGCAGAGATCATTTTAATTGACTTTTATTATTATAGCCTGGGGTATTTTCAAAAGATTATCATTTAGTCTGTACAATTATACATAATGTATAGCTGGAGTTGTCTTTAAAGCAAAGATAATGTGACCCCATGTGTCTGGCAGCCTAGATGATCGATCCCTCTTAATGACACGACAGATGAAATGACTCATTCTGCCATACAAATTTTCAATCATTTTGTAAATTAAATACCTGTAAAAATTTGTCATGGAATTTCAAATTCTGAAACCCCCCTTCCACCCTGGAAGCTTGGAGGAGGTGGTTTTGTACTAAGTGATGTCATCACCTGGAAAGTTCTTCATAGGAGCTCATACAATTAGGGAAGGAATAATAATAAGATGGAAAGAACTAAAATACAACAGTTACAAAAACCATTTCTGGACTCCATTTCATGGCCTTCTCATCAATCCACTAGTTTCTAATCAACTACTTGATGAGGAAAATGAGCTATGTCCTCATGTGACCTGCCATGTCACAATTTTTTTTATTGATTGATTTGAGAGAGAGAAAGGGAGAAAAAGAGAGAGAAACATCAATATGCTGTTCCACTTATTTATGCATTCATTGGTTGATTCTTGTATGCGCTCTGACCCCGGATCAAACCCTCAACCTTCAAGTATCAAGATGATCCTCTAACCAACTGAGCTATCTGGCCAGGGACACCTCACAATTATTTTAATTATCAGGTTTGTCTTTTAGGGCCTGTATTAAGGTACAGTTGAACTGTATAAACTCTTGAACTGTATTAGTCTGCTAGGGCTGCCATACTAGCAGACTAATGGCTTAAAAACAGCAATATATCATCACCTCATGATCCTGGAGGCTAGAAGCCTGAAATCCAGGTGCTGGCAGGGCTGATCCACTCTGAGAGCTATGAGGGAAGGCTCCGTCCCAGGCCTCTTTCTTTGGTTTGTACATAGCTGTCTTCTTCCCTTGTCTCTTCGTATTGTGTTCCTGCTATGTGTATCTGTCTTTGTGTCCTAATTCTCACTCCCTTTTTATGATGTTTGTTCTACCAAGAGCTGCCAAACAAACAGAGTATCAGCATTAGAACCTCAAAACTTTCTGGTGGTGTATGAGAGGGATTGCTCTTACCTTGAGTGGAAACAAGTTATCTGCACTTGTTTATATTTGGAAAGTCAGTTTACTGCAAAAATAATATACTACAGCTCCATTTTTGGAAACATTCTGAAAATTTTTATACCCTTGAAAAGTTTTATTTTTGTATTTATATGTTTTATCTTTTTAAACTGAAAATTCAGAGGGAGATTCTTTTTTTTTTAATCCTCACTCAAAAATATGTTTATTGATTTTTTTTTTTTTTTTGAGAGAGAGAGAGACATCAATTGGTTGCCTCCTGTATGCTCCCTGATTGGGGATCGAATTCACAACCCTTTGGTGTATGGAACAGTGCTCCAACCAACTGAACCACCTGGGATTCTTACATAGATTGCTGGCTTTGGAAAATCTATTTATATTTTTCCGCTAGTTTCCTGAAACAGAGAAAAGTAGTCAGGAGAAATTGAGGGATGGTACCAGAAGCCTATCTAAAAATTGCCTGCAGTAACTGGCAAGCGTTGACAGTTTATAACCAACCACTTCAACCCTAATCAAACTTGCATCTTTCTTGACCACTCCGCATTCTCTCACAACTCAGGAAGTTTGGACATCTATATAAAGGTTCATATGCTTCTTAAGACATACACTGGCAACATTTGAAGGTATTTTTAGTCCATACAAGCCTACTTGGATCTATCATTTCTTTCCTTGAGGGAAGGAAGGAAGGACTAATACAGGAAGGAGAACTAATCGTCCACTCACATTTGAGCCACTGCAAGTAGCTTCCAAGTGAGTCTACCAACTTTGTATCACCCCACCTTATTTTAATATTTAATGTTTCTATTTTTGAAGTCAAAAATTGAAATAGGAAGAACAGTAAGCTAATGATAAATTCATAACTATTTGTCCACAGTGGGTAAAATACTTGGTTAATATATGAGTTAATCAAAAGGACTATGCTACACCCAGCCAGACCCTAAGTTAATCTACTTCCTCATGAACCAAATGGTGTTTATTCACGTAATTCAGGATAACTTTTTAAGAAGTGGCTTGTATAGATTGACCTTAAAATTCATTTATAGGTGGCATTACATGTTCATTTAATAGCACTTAAACCACTAAGCAACAGTTCTTTTGTAAGATAAAATATGAAAGCAAAGCTGTTTAGCTATCTACCAGGTCCAGAAAAATTGCTGAGGGGCTCTTCAACATCTTTAAACAATCCATATGAATGTGTTACTTCATGGCTAGATACCTCTAGTTAGAGCAGGAGTCCCCAACCTCTGGGCCGTGGACCATACCAGTCTGAGTCTGTTAGGAACTGGGCCGCACAGCAGGAGATGAGCTTAGATGTAATGCTCTTGAATCATCCTGAAGCCATCCCCCGACCCTCAACCCTGTCTGTGGAAAAACTGTGTTCCACGGGACTGGTCCCTGTTGCCAAAAAGGTTGGGGACTGCTGATAGAGGACATGGGTGAGTATTAGGGAGACAAGCCTGTGTCCAGCTCAGATATCTCATCAAGAACACTGATGACTACAGCTGAGCGGGCTCCACCCACTGCAGTGACCCTGGAATCCCCCACCCTGGCCTCAGCCTTTGCCTGCCCAAAGCATCCACCTTGGTAAGCTGAGCCTGTCTTTTCTTGGCATTGCGGCAGGCAGTGCAATTCACTTTTTCCCACTCTGTGCACTTTTCAGTTTCTTTTGAGAACTGCAGCTTCTTTCCTTCTTTCCGTTTCCTGTCTGCGTCTTGGGTCAGGTTGCTGGGTGATGATGTGAGAAAAGTCTCAGTAATGAGAGGGGCAGGGAACAGATAGAAACATCAGGAAAGGAGGGCGTGTGACAGAGTAAAAGACTTCATCCTGTTTCAGTTCTCAAAATGTCACACTGGACTTGGAGTCAAAAGATTCGAATTTGAGTTCACATTCTAAGTTCCAGTTCTGGTTCTGCACTCACTAGCAGAGTGACATTCGCAAGTTCTTCACCATTTTGAGGCTCAGCTGTGAAATGGGGATAACAACACAATTTTATTTATATATAATCTCAGATAATAATATACATGGGACACTGTGTAATATACAAAAGACAATGCCTAGCACCTGGCAGGGACTCAATAAATATAAGTGCTCATACCAATCATTCAGTTCTTGTAGCTGTTCAATCAACAGTAGTTATTATTACTATTACTATTATTAGGGAACATCTGTTTATAATTTTACATTTTATATTTATTACACAATTTATTTAACAGCTTTTATTTTCTGAAAAAGAATATTCTCCCAACATTTGGTATTAAAAATGCCTATCATTGCGCCTTTCTTTCATAGATGCATGATTTTCTTTTGATATTACCTGATTTTTATATTATCTCCACTTAATTTTCATCATGTCTATCATTTCAAATCCAGGATCCTCATAGAAGATCTTCAGAAAACACTGGAAAAAGGAAGCAGTTTGCAAGCCCAGAGAAATCGCAGATCCCTCTCTGAATATAATTATGAAGTTTATCACTCCTTAGAAGAAGTATGTAATCAAAGGAGCTTTTATTGCATTTTTTTGAGGCAAGGGCTATATGCAAAATAGATAAAGCTCTCTTCTTTTTTTAATCCTCATCCAAGGATATGTTTATTGATTTTAGAAAGAGGGGAAGGGAGAGAGGGAAAAGAAAAAAAAGCATTGATGTGAGAGAGAACCATTGATTGGTTGCCTCCCATACACGGGATAAAACCCACAACCTAAGTGTGTGCCCTGACTGGGAATGGAACTCATACCCTTCTGGTATACGGGATGATTCTCCAACCAACTGAACCACCCGGCTAGGGCAAGTACAGCTCCTAATATTGTCTAGGCACCTCAGGTCAGTCTTCTCTTCCATTAAGCATGTAACTGCTATATAAGAAGTACCAAAATGATTTGAATTCATCCGCTTTACCCCACCCACCCCGATAAAGGTCATGGGAAGTGCCCTGGGAGAGTGAAGTAATGTAGTTATGATTGTAGTTATAAAGCCCTTAAATTAAAGGCTTGATGTGTGTCTTGATGGAAGGTAGAGCTAGCCAGAGTTTGAGGGCAATGATTTGGTCAAAGGGTAGAGTGAACTTTGATTCTTACCCCATATCCTCTACAAATCTGAGACCTCCCAAAGGCCAACCTTCATCTATGGCACCCCAGGGCCTATTAACATGCTGTTGTTTATTCTACCTGGAAACCACAGCAACCTCATTCCGACTACCACATCATTTACCACTCATCTGGACAAAAAGTAGTCATTCATCAAATCTCACCTTACACAAAAAATCAGCTCTTTCTACTCTCCTAGACTGGATCAGAGCTCCACTCCCTACCTCCAACCCCCAGCATATTTCACGCACCATAGAACATGAGTGTATGATTATTTTTGATTGATGCCTTTCTCTCTAATAAGCTGCAACTTCCAGGAAGGCAGGCCCTAACTTGTTCACCACTGTGTTTCTAGTGGCAAGCGAACAGAGAACTCCAAATAGATAGTTGAGGACAGAATAAATACATACATATGTTCTCCATGTTTCCTCGGAATTAAGCAAAGGAATGCCAGTCAAAGAATTCATAAGATCTTGTTATATTCTTAAGAGAATCATCGGTTCTCTTGATAATGATTTTCCTTTCAAAATTATTTCTACATATTTTAGGTTACAACAAGGAAAAGTTTTAGACAATTTAGCACATGGAGGTGCTAGTAACATGCACTAGAAAAAAGTCAAATTTTTAAAATATATCTATATAGATATATACATATATATTATATACGTAGACTCATTAGATTAAGAATAGAAAAAAAATAATACAGTACTTTCCAAAATCTATTTTTTCAGCACAGACTCTCTTTCACATCATGGAACAGTGGGATGCTTTTGTGTGACTTCCTCACTCCTCATACAGCTTTTAAGTCAGAAATATCACCCGTCTTTCTAAGTGCCTCATTCATCCATCTCAAATATACCTTCTCCTGATGACAGATAAGTGTATGTGAAAGGACCAATGCAAATCCATTGCTATTACTGGGGAATTTATTCAGACTATGCCCTCTGATGTATGGCTCAATAGAATGAATATTTTTAAATGATAAAAAATAATGTCTTTTTGTTAGCGTCTTCTGTTCAGTGGCAAATTACAATATATTGGGCTTTCAGGTAGTTTGGATGATTTTCCAGAAGTCAATTTCTTTCTTTCCTCTTAAATACTTTGGTGGAGATGGAAATAAATTTTGATTTTCAAAAGGATCCGAGAACATATTGATTAATTTTTCTGTAAAACTCTGCCATCAAGTTACTAATGATAAATGGTAGTAGAAGGTATGCTTTAAAAAGGGAACAATATAAAGACTTCAATCTACTATTTGTAAAGGCAGAAAATAAAAGGTAATTTTAAATATCCTGAAGAAAATTAAAATAGAAAATTGGTTTTTGTTCAATTTTATATTCCATGTGTGCTCTTTGAGTTCTGAGACCTATTGTTGTCTTGTTACCTTTTGTTCTCTAAAAGCTTTGTAATTATGGGAGTCTGACATGATTTTTATTTATTTGCTTTTAGATTCAAAATTGGATGCATCATCTGAATAAAACTCATTCAGGCCTCATTCACATGTTCTCTATTGGAAAATCATATGAGGGAAGATCTCTTTTCATTTTAAAGGTAAAAAATAGGAAATTATTAACTAAAATATTTACTAAACAATCATTCCAACTTTGACATATGGGGAAAAGAAATGACATGGTTCATAGTGTCTAACATTTAACATTACCTAATAATTTAAGACAAGTTTCCCTTAGGTTTTTAAGTCATACTGAATTTTCACCACTAGTATTCCAGAGAGTACTAACATATTTGGAGTTATTAATGCACCTAAAAAATAAGAGCCTTAAAATGATTTGTGAGTGAGTGCTGCATAAGATGAACCGATGTAAAATTACATAAATGTGTAAGAAGGTATGCATCATTCCTAGCCCTTAACCCTGCATTTTCTTCTAGTCTCACCTACAGCACTCCACCTCTTCTCAACCAAACACTCCAAAAGATGTATAATAAAACATCACCCTGTACTTTCTCACCTCCTATTCAGACCTTGACTCACTGGCCTTTGCACCCCCACCGCTCCTCTAAACCTCCTCTTGCCAAGGTCAATGATGACCACTAGGTTTCCTTCCCGTCTCTCTGACTATCCCTCAGGTCTCATTCTCTGGCTCCTCATCCCTTATCCTTTCCTTAGGTTCTGGCAGTCCCAGGATTCCATCCTCAGATGTATTCTCATTATATGAACAATCTCGAGATGGGCACACACACCCCATGGTTTCAACAGTCATTCCAGACTGTGCTGTTCAGTGGATTCCCCTCTGTCACTGGCTGCTTTCCATTCTCATCTTCACAGTCACAAAAGCACCTCTCCTCAGAATGGCACCGCTCTGCTCCCAGTCTAAAAACATGAGCATCATCCTAAATTTCTCCTTTACTTTAACCACTTGCTTTAAATCTACCACTAGGAATTTTCATTTTTCCTTCTCAATATCTTTTTGGATGTTGCACCAACCTCTTCTCTTGTCCACTTATCTCTGGACTGTTACAGTAACAGCCTCAGTACTGAACTTCCTTTCTAGACCCCACCTCCGCACTGCTGTCCGAGTGAGCTCTCCTCCCCTCCCCCGACTCCACATGCACTCCTCCCATGGAACTCAGACTGCAGCCTTCTCTCTTTCACATAGTATCCGAGAATGTCATGTGTTCTTCATCTGCCATTCCTTCCTCATACAGGGAAGCAGTTCCTTCAAGACAGTGGGCTCCCACCCTTTTCCAAACTTGTGACGCCTTTTTCCAACTTTCTGCCTGGCAAGCTTCCAGCCTTGCCCAAGTACTTGAGTGCTCAGGAAGAAGTCTCCTCTTTTGAGAAGTCTTCTCTTATTTTTCAGGAAAATTACATGTGTTCCCATGTTCTAGAACACCTTCATGTTCCCAAAGTAACTTATGCATATTCACATCATAATGATTAATTGTTCCTATGGCTGCTGTCCTCACTATCATATAAATCCTGTCTTTTCATCTTTGAATCTCTGGTACTGAGTGCAGTGTCTGACATTGAAAATAATTTCCTGAAGTATTGGTTAAGTGAATTAATGAATAAATGAAAACTGGGCCCCCTGTAAATATGTCAAGAGCCACCTATTGATTACCGTATTAGAAACCACATTATAAGTAATATTTGTAATAGGAATATAGAGAAAAATCTGTCAATTCCACAATTCAAGTTGTTTTGTGTTTTTCCACCTTGTGTTGAAATCAAATTTGATTTTATCCTCCTACAAAACATAGCTAATTCTTTATGAAAGATTCCTTGGGAATATTTCTGATTCCTGAGATGGAGGAGAGGCAGAAAATTTTACTTTTTACTTAATAGTCACATACAAGGGGGGACCCCAAAAAACTGAATTTGTTTATAAGAAATTGTGTATTTATTCTTATATGTTTAAACTTTAGTTTCCTTCATAGTGAATTCTCTCCATTTGATGCAATATACTTATAAAGATGTTTTTTTTTCCCACTGCTCAAAACAGTTTTTGAATTCATTGATTTTGATGTCTTTCCATGTTTCTGCCATTTTTTGTTTTACCTCTTCCACATCAGCAAAACGTTTCCCTCTGAGGACTTTTTTCATCCAGGGAAACAGACAAGTCACTCAGGGTGAGATGGGGTGAATAGGGAAGATGGGGCATTGGGGACATGCTGTTTTTGGTCGAAAACTGCTGAACACTAAGCATGGTGTGGGCAGGAGCTCTCCTAAGTCACCTGCCATGCAATAGGCAAACTCATTGGAAGAGTCTTAAAAAAAAAAATTCACTAAAGCTTTAATGCAGCCTCACAGTACCAGCTGGTACACTCATACAAATGGGTTCCTAGAACACTCACCTAAGGGGGAAAGCCTGGACTATAAGGGGCCCACCCCCCAGAAGATAATTCCAGGGATTCTTGGGGTCCCCTCTCATATTTATATTAAAATAGAGAAGCATACCTATTTCAGGAATTGTCATTTTCCTTGTGTATTTTCCAGTTCTTTGATTTGTAATTAGGACAAAAATTTATTGTTTCTGCATAAACAAGCCTGGACTGCTGAAATAGAGAGGGAATCTCTCCCTCTCTTTTATTACCGGTTACCTAGTGAAACAAAGTATAGTGAAGAATTATACTGAAACCTTATTAAATTATGCTGGTCAGTAAATCCAAAAATAAAAGCCTGCATTGGTTACTAAGAATACTCTTGTTTTCAGCTGGGCAGATCACGAGCTTACAAAAGAGCTGTCTGGATAGACTGTGGTATTCATGCAAGAGAATGGATTGGTCCAGCCTTTTGTCAGTGGTTTGTAAAAGAAGTAAGTTAAACCCTTTACACAGGTCCATTTCAGCTAGTCGGTGGTTCCCACGTGTTTTTTTCTGCTCAAGTAACAAAACTGGGAATGCAAAGCCAGTGATACCTGTTTGAATGATAACGCCTTGATTTGGTGGGTCGCTTTCATGTTTATAAAGACCTCTCATAACCCTGGCTCAGCTTACCCTCGCCTCTACCCTTGGGGGTTGGAATTACCAACCCTCATTAAAGAAAAGAAACTTGAGATTCAAAGCATTTATGATTTTGTGACAAATTAGGAATCAACCATTACAGTTGATATATGGGAAAGGCTAAAAATCAAATTTATGGTGTTCCAGAGCAGTTTCTCAAATAATATTCAGCTTGGAAAATTCTTCATCATTTGTCTTCTCTGTCAAAATGATCTCACATATGCTATAACAATAAAGAGATGAGCAAGTGATTGCATTTTCCCCTCCTGCTGTGACTCTGTAATTTAGATATGAAAGACCTTTAACATCTGTGGGTTTAACATTTGGGGGTTTAACATTCTCAATATCAGTATTTTTCAGTGACTAATTGTTAATGACTCACAGTGATTTCTCATTTTCCAAAGGCTCTCTATGTTAGCATATCCAGTGGGTCCTCTCCCAAGAGTGGGCCAGCCTCATGAACCGGCATCATAATATGTTTGGATATTTTTCTCTCCATCGTCAAGAATGTAATGACTTTCATGGTGTTTTTTAAACCTTGGCTTCTTATTTTTTAAAAAGACTCTTAGTACTGGTGATGAAAATAAAGAAGTCTAAGGATATGAAGGTTCTAAGCCAGAGAATAACCTTACAAATATCTTTAGCCCTGTACTAATAGAGAACCATTAAGGATACAAAAGATATTTTACATTTTCAGTTCTATTTCATTGTGTTTTATGGATAAATTATGTGCCCTAGTGAGGTTTGTGATTTGGAAGACTGTCCTAGTCTAGGAAAATATCCCTCACAAATGTCAAGAATTTAATAAATTTGTAAAATCTATCTCTGCCACTACCAAAACCGTAAAAGTATCCTTAATCTTATAAATATTATATAATAATAAAATTTTCAAACTATTTCCACTCAGCGTATTGAGCAATTCATACTCTTTAAAATACCATTTTACCATGGTAGGACAAACACAATAGCTAAAAATAAATGTATTCTATTACCTTGCATTACCAAATATCCATTGTATATATGCAACATATCGTCTGCCTTCTCAAGTTTCAAAAAGAAGGAAAAACTGGTTCAGGATAGAACACTAATGGTTCATAGTCTATGGCCCTGTGTATTATTGAAGGACATAAGATTATCTCTGAAACATTTTACCTCACCCCCATGTGTGCAGCCTCTTCTTTATAATGCCTAAACTTACTTTATATGTTTATGGTATTATCATCTCTGTTTGTACCAAGGGCAGAGAGGCTATTTATCTCATTCATTGCCAAGTCCCCAGCACCCAGAACAACACCTGGCACTTAATAGATCTTCAAATATTTGTTAACGGATGGGAATAATGAGAATCCCGTGGTAATGATGTGGAAAGATTTCTGAAAGATGACTTGTCAAATCATATGCGATATGAATGGCACCACCTGGATTTTTGCAATGCACAATCTGTACAGCCATATACAGCAGCTCTATAACTCAACTAAATTTCCAAGGAAGAGGAAGGCACAGTGTAACCACAGAAAAAGAAAAGAGCAATATGGTGACTGCCAATTGATAGTGGTTGATTTGGGAGCAATAGCAAGAAGCATCAATTAAGATTAGGTGCCGTTTTGCCAAGATAAGTAAGGAGAGGCCTTTCCCTCCTCCACCAGGCCATCATCAGGCACGCAGGTACGTCTGGCCATTTCTGTGCCTCTGCTACCCTTTCCACATCTCTCTCACTCTCGCTGTTCATGGCTGCTGCTTGCCCCTCTACTTTATCACTTACATTTTCCATCTGAGTCAGGGATAACAACCAGAAATGGAAAAAGGGAGGCCTTGGGTCACTTGTCCCCATGGTCTGGGGGAAGTATTAGGGCTTCCAAGGTGTAACAGCCATGTGATAGCAGTGATTGGAGTGGGTCAACATTACAGGCTGGTAAGAAATAGTCCCATTTGCTTTAAAGTCCCCTTTTCCACTAATGGTGGTTTTGGGGACAGAGGGAATAGGAACTTGAAAGTTAAACCTGCCAAGGTGTAGAGCATCATTTCTTACACACTAATTCAGTCCCTTGTTAAATCCTCAGTCTCCCAAAGAAGGCAGGGGTGGCTGGTCTAAGAGGGGCTCCAAGCAGTACCCCTTCCACAGTTTACCTCCCCTTCATCACAGAAGTCCCATGAGTAGCTCCCAGGCTCCTGAATCATCTCATTTCCAGGCCCCTCAGGGGACACTGGGGAACCTCTGGGCTCACTCTCTGCCTCACACGAGACTAGAGTGATATGTCTATCCCTCTGTTGGCCGATACATGCCACACTTCTCACTGTCCTCTCCTGTGTTTGCCCCTTACTGGCATACAAAGAACATGTGACAGGAGACCCTCTCAGACACATGGTAAACAGGACAGAGGTCCTCTTTCCTTACATTTTTCACTCCAGCCTGTCAGCTGTCTTCACCATCTCCTGATTTCGCTTCTGTGGGTCAGTTATCTGAGCACAACTTAGCCTGATGCCTCTTGCTCAGGATCCCTCCCAAGACTACTGGAGCGTCGGTCATCTAGTCTTGTGCAGGGGAGTATCTGCTTCTGAGCTCACTCATATGGCTGCTGGCAGTCACGGGTCCTCTCTGGCTGTGAGCCAAAGATATCAGTTCCTTGTCACACGGGCCTCCCCACAGGGCAGCTCACAGCACAGCACCTGCCTTCCCTCAGAGTTTATTAGGAAGAGAGCAGGCCCAAGATGGAAAGCAGTCTCTTTGTAACCTAATCTCAGAAGTGACATCCCATCACTTTTGCCATATTCTGTCAGAAGTGAACCACTAGGTCCAGACCGCATTCAAGGCGAAGGCTTTTCATGTGAGCTTGGGTACTGAGAGGTGGGACTCATTGGAGTCTAGCTGAGAGGCTGCCTACCACACTGTGGTGAGACTTTCTCCGCAGCCCCCACTGTCATGTTACATCCTTATTCAAATGTGAACTGGAAGAATATTTCCTAAGTGCTCTGGGATTCTGATAAAACAGCAGATTGCGTAGAGGTTATACACACACATTTGATAGAGAGCCCTGGGCTGGAATACCAGCTCTGTCATTTACTAGCTGTGTGAGTCACTTAACCTCTCTGAACCTCGGTAATAATAACATATGACACATTGAGTTACTGGGAAGATTAAATAATGTAATGCATGTAAAAGATTTAAGTGCTTGGCATATAACAAGCACTTAATTAAACAAATGTTAGTAGTAGTATCTGCAATTTGGTGTTTTTAAATAAGTATCATAAAGAGAATTAGAAAGAAAATCAGTGAGGATATGAAAGAACTCAACAACACCATCAACCAATAGAATCTAAACTACATTATAGGTCATTCCACCCAATAACAGCAGAATGCACATTCTTTTCAAGGGCCTATGAAACATATATCAAGATACACCATATCCTGGGCCAAAAAACAGACCACAAATTTAAAAGAACTAAAATTATACAGACTGTGTTCTCTGACAATGAAATCAATCTAGATATTGATAGCAGAAAGGTAACAAGAAAACCTCCAAACTCTTGAAAATTAACATACTTCAAAATTATCTATGGGTCAAAGATAAAGTCTCAGGGAAAAATATTTAAACACATTGAATTGGATGAAAATGAAAATATAACACACCAAAACTCATGGGACACAGTTAAAACAATGCTGAGAGGAAAAACCCATAGCATTAAATATATATATTAGAAAAGGAAAAATCTCAATATAGTAATCTAAGCTCTCACCTCAAGGATCTAGAAAAAAAATAGAAAATAAAACCAAAGAAAGCAGAAGTAACTTGTCGCAGGGAGCACGGGGCTCCTGGATCTGAGGGTCACTGTCCAAAGCCAGCTGAGGCGGGAGCAGGGTTCTGAATCCCACAGAGCCTGTCCCAGGGTTGTCACGGATGGGGGGAATGAACACGAGTTGTTGCAAACACTTCTCTGTTTGCCAGGAGAGGGGAAAGGGCACTTCCCTCTAGTGGAGAAGCCCTCAGCCCCTTTTTTCCAAAGGCTTTTATTTAAAATGTTATCGATGGGGCTAGGTAATAGGAACGTGCAGGTTATCTCATTACATCAGTATGTTAATGTTTACAGAGAATAGATGATGTTTTGAAGAAAACAAATTGCAGGAACCCACCAATTTACATGGGCCTGAGAGGAGACTAAAAAACACAAGAGTGTAAACATGAGAACGCCAAAGGGTACAGGGTTAGGGTCTGTAAATAATGCAGATATCCCTCCCAGCATGAGCTGGATATCATAGCTTTTGAGGGAGAAATAAAGCATGCTGTAAAGAGTTTACTTCTAGGCCTGATTTTCCCTAGGAACCACCAGATCCAGTTTAGGACTGTCTCCAGTATTGTTTTGGGCCTGAGCCAGGTGGGGGGAGGGAGCCACCAAGAGACCAGGAGACTTCTTTCAGATAGAATGAGGATCCCAGCCATGTCCAAGGTGAGCTGAGGGGTGTAGGTCTTTTTGCGCTTTCTCCGTGTCCCCCAAGTTCTTGACCTGCTGCCCGTTTCGGCTGTGTCTGACTTAGGCTGTCCCTCCTCTTGAGGGATCTTATCCGTCATTCACTACCATCACAGGGCCAAGCAGGGTGATGTGAGGGAGCAGGAGCTTCACCCCTGCCAGGGGGACAGGTTTCATCTCCTCATGGCCTGTTTTCCCAAGGCCTCCTTGATCAGTTCCAGTCTTGGGGCCCTTGTGCCTGTCAGCGGGGCTACAGTTCCTGAAACCAGACAGGGCATTTCCCAACAGTAACTAATATTGATAAGAGCAGAAATCAATGAAATTTCAAACAAAATCAGAGAAAATCAGG